TGGAGGTGGTGAAGGGAGGACAGGGAATAGGGAAAAAATAAGAACCAAGATACATCATGTACCCAATGATAAATGTAAACATATTGTATACCTAAAATGTACTGATAAAAGAATGTAAGAAAGAAAAATCTTGAATCCTTAAAGTGAAGAATCTTCTAAAAATTAAACATATCAATTGCAGTTATTTTTGCATATAAATTATGTTATCAGGCTTATTAGAAAAAGGGTATGTTATCTATTATAGTAGAGACATAATAAAATGCCAAGTGACACATTATCCCAGTGACAATTAAGTGGTGTACTCTTTTTATGACTCCCTATTGTCCAATAAATTCTGTGTAATTGAAGGAAGAGAAATGCAAGCTCTTCTAGGAAAGGCACTCTTGCCAGGTGCCCCGGCCATGTCAGTCATGTGGGCACAGATGTCTAATTCCAGTACTAGGAGGCTGAGGCAGTAGAATAGGGAGTTCAAGTACAACTTAGACTACATAGTGAGAGCCTATCTCAAAAAAAAATAAATAAAGCAAATATATAAAATGATTTTGGGGGCTGGAGAGGATGACAGTGAAAGAAGGTCCTGGGTAGGTGAATGACAGCTTTCAGGGACAGATGATCAATGGTCTTAATGTACGGACCTCTGGAAAGCTTCCTCAGCTTTTCAAAGAAAATAGCAAATTGACAGACTCAAAGAGTATCTGTCTTTATGTGTGTCTGGCTTACTAAGGCCTGAGAAGCTGGATTTCAGAAATTCTCAAGCACTTCATTATGCTTTCCCCCAAAGTCCTAACCTTTCCTTATGAATTCCTTGAGCAAGATCCAGCACAGAGGGGCTGTTTCACTCTGTCCATATTCACCACAAAGCCCCTTACTAATCAGCCTGCAAGCCATCCTAAGCTGGGTTTCACTCTTCTGGGTTTCTATCAGGCTGCCTCATCAGCAAACTAACCAGATGGGGCGGGATGGAGAACAAGTCAGTCAGAGCAAACTTTAGTTTCTAGAAAAAAACTCAGAATAAAACTGTTACTCACTTGGGTGATTCTATTTCTCCAATGTAGACTCAATAATAACAAAGGATATCAGTGATTGGCAACCCTGTGAAAAGCCTAATTTTAAAGAATGAGAAGATACTTATGAAACAATGATAAGCAAGGACCCTAAGTTTCTCCATCTTAATTGACCCAGACTTGGATACAGAGAAAATTGTTCTCTGACGTGGTACAATTGCTCCCCAGCCACTTCCTTTCTTAATAGTAGCCGTTGCCTTTTCACAACTCTTGTCTTCGTTGAGCTGAATATGAAACAGAGTTGTATCTAGCTCAGTTCTGTGAAGGCATTCTGAGGACAGTACTCAGCTTCTGGCTGCATCAGACTTACTTGCTGTGCTTGTTAAACACAGATTGCTGAGCCCCACAACCAGGGTCCCTGCTTTAGTATGTTTGGAGTAGGGCTGGGTAATTTGCATTTATAAGTTCTCAGAATGCTGCTGCTCCTAGGGCCACATATTTGGTAGCCAGTAATCTAAATCAATAATTGTCCCTCCAGTGCTGCACATTAGAATAACCTGAGGATGTTTTCAAACAATACAAGAACCCACATCAACCTCTAAGGAATCTGCTTCTCCTCAGTGTCAGATTGGAGCATTCATGTTTTAAATTTTCCGGATGATATCATTGTGCACACAAATTTTGTAAGCCTCTGCTAAGTCTATCAGCCAATGATGCTGGGTGTTCACCCCCAGGGACATAAATAAGAGTGCCTGAGGAACCATTCAGCTCACAAACATTTATTAAGCACCCACAACATATAATGCTTTCCTCTAAATGATGTGAGAGATTCTACAAATGAAATAATATCTAACCATTGCACTCAGAATGCATACTCTAACTGAGGAAAGTATACAAATAAGAAAATAGAAATATTAAAAGAAGTGCATAATGTTGACTCATCATTTAAAAAGTGAAAACTGAGTCCTTTATCTGCATCTTCTTCTTTTGTCTTCACAACAATGTTAAGTACTTTCATTATCCAGTTTTACAGATGAGGCAACTGATGCTTTGAAAGGATGTGTTGTCTAGCCAAGATCATTGTTCCAATCACTGAATTTATCTGACTTCAAAGCACATGTTCTTAAATCACCCTTCCACTCTTCCACCATAGCGCTCCACATGGATATCTGCAGAAATCACTGCTTTCTATGCCTCCTCTCATTTCTGTTCCCTCCAGATTTATGCAGCTCTTCAAGCTCATGTGTGGTTTACAATAGTCCCAAGCTGGGAAGGCAAAAGCAAAAACAGTGGTATTCAACTTTGGCTGCATATTAGAATTAAAAATCCAGAGGCCTAGACCCTTTGCAGCAACACTGGAAAAGACAGTTTTAGTGTCAGTGATGAGCTGGTAAATCTTTAATAACTGGCTTCCAGGGGAAAAGCAAAGGCCTGAATTTGTAGCATTTGCCCATTTCCATGGTATTAACTCACACATTGTGGCTATTTCAATCTACCAATGCGATGCAAACTGGCCCAAAAGATTCTGAAATTTTCTTTACCCATTTATCTGTTGATGGACACATAGGTTGATTCCATGACTTGGATGCTGTGTGAAGAAGTCTCTTTGACGTACTAATTTTGTTTCCTTTGGCTGTATACCCAGTGGCAGGATTGCTCAATCATATGGTAGCTCTATTTTCAATGGCTGTAACAATCCACATTCCCAAAAGTGTTTAAAATTTCTCTTTTCTCCACATGCTTGCCAGCACCTACATTCTGTCTTTCTGATAATAGACATTCTACCCAGTGTGGAGAAATCTCATTGTAGTTTTAATTTACATTTCCCTGATGATTAGTGATATGAACATTTTTTTCATACTGCTATTGGTACATCTTTTGAGAAATGTCTCTTTAAGTTTTTGGCCATTTTTAATGTGATTATTTATTTTCTCACAACTGAGTTGAGTTCCTTAAATATTTTGGATATTAGTCCCTTATCAGATATATGGCTTGTAATTATTTTCTCCTTCCTCAAGTTTTCACTTCATTAATTGTTTCCTTTGCTGTGAAGATGCAATTTCATTTTTCTCTTTTTGTTTTGTTGCCTGTGCTTTTAGGAGTATCGCAAACAAATTATTGCACAGAACATTATCAAGAAACTTTGCCCCATGTTTTCTTCTTGCACTTTTACAGTTATGCATCTTGACAGTTTTTAATTCATTTGAGTAGATTTTTATATGGTAGGAGAAAAGGATCCAGTTTCATGGTTCTGTAAATGGATATCCAGTGTGCTCCATACCATTTGGTAAAGACACTATTCTTTCTGAATTGTGTGTCCTTGGCACCTTTGTGCTAAAGACCACTTTAAGGAATAAATATATATATTTTAGTTGAAAATACTTGCCTTTACATGTAATAATTAAACAAAAAAAATGCTTGACAACACTGAAAATTCCCAGTTTTGTCCTCTCAAGCTTTATATTGTTTATAGGATATAGCTTGTTTCAAACCAATGAATAACAAACAATTTAGGTTTCCCATCAAATTTAGAACTTACCAGGCAGAGAAGTGAGGGACCTGGGAGGCAGAAAGAAGCAGATCGCAAGGTTGAGCCCAGCCTGGGCAACTCAGTGAAATCTTGTCTCAAAATTAAAAATTATAAAGGACTCGGAATGCAGCTCAGTGTGAGTGTCCTGGTTTTAGTCCTCAGCATTTTCATCCCTCAAAAAACTAGAATTTGAATTGACTCTTTCCCTCTTCTTATCAGTTCAATGTGAGTCTGAACCTCATAGACGTGCAAGAGCTGAGTTACAAACAACAAAGGAGAAAGGAGGTGAAGGGAAATAGTTCTGGACAACTTATCCTCTCTAAAGATCTTTTCTCTTCTATAAAGTTAGGAGTCATTACCTTCCCCGACAAGGCTACTGTGAGAAAAAACTGAAAAGGCACATTGGAAACACGGTGTAAAAAACGCAAATTATTATTATATGAATGCAAAAATAGTTCTTTGAGGTATCTCCATACTGATTTCCACAGTGGTTGCACTAGAGGTCCCATTTGACCCAGCTATTCCCATGCTGGGTATCTTCCCCAAAGAATTAAAAGAATCATACAACAGTGATATATGCTCACCCATGTTTATAGCAGCACAGTTTGTAATAGCGAAAGCTTGGAAACAGCCCAAGTGCCCATCAACTGGAAACTGGATAAAGAAGATGTGAGTTTTTAATAATAAAATGGAGTACTACTCAGACATAAAGAATGAGAAAATATAGACATTTATAGCTAAATGGATGCGTATCGAGGCCATACTCTTAAGTGAAATAAATAGGACACACATGTGTAAATACCGAATAGTTTCTCTAGTGTGAGAAATTGAAAGTGTAAATAAGGATTAACATGGTTAAAACGAATAATTGATAATTTGAAATAGGAAGAAAAGGTCCAAAGGGGAAGGGGAAGTGGGAAAGAAAGGGAAAAGGAAAGAAAGGAAAGGAAAAATTATGAGAAAAGGATAAAATGGAAACAAAGTTATTGTAAATAGGGAAGTGTAGAGGTGGTGAAGGGAGGACAGGGAATAGGGAAAAAATAAGAACCCAGATATATCATGTACAGGTACAAATACCCAATGATAAATGTAAACGTATTGTATACCTAAAATGTGCCAATAAAAGAATTTAAGAAAAAAAACCTTGAATGTACCCATTTCAGCAGCACAAATCCACAAACTGGAATGATACAGAGAACATTAGCACGACTCCTGTGCTGGAATGACATCCAAATCCATAAAGTACTCTAATTAAAAAATTAACTTGATATAAGCAAAAAAAAGAATGCAAAAATATATAGTGCTGGATAAATCTACCCTTTGAAGAGACTTAAATCTCTCAGCATAGACTTCTCTATTGCTCTTCATCTGTCTTCTTAATTAGGATATATTATTTTCTTTAAACTCCCAAGTTACTCATGTCCTGACAGGATTAGGAAAGACACAGTTGGTCTGAGTGTTGACTAAGTGTGAGGAACAGAGAACAAACCAGGGTGCCTGAACTATACTCATGTACCTGAGACTTTACATGCGCTGTGACAGAGTAAGAAGGTGATGATTAATCCCTGGAAACACATCTGGGTGAAGAAGAGGAAGAGAAAGGAATAAAGGGAAGATAGAAGGAAAAAATTAGTTGCCCAAATAATTCTTTGTGGACATCTCAGTGTTGGTGCCTGGATAGTAAAACACCACAGACTCCAACAGCAGCAGACATATGACCCAGTGAGCTTTTGAATATTTATTTCATGAAGTCAGACGCTGTGTCTGAGCCCAAATGCACTCTTTCTTTCTCCCCTTAAACAATTACCTTCACCCGGTAAAAGCTGTTCTAAGAGCCAAACATGCCCACCACGCTCTCATTTCTGCTCCATTTCAGACCACATACTCCTTCCCTCTATAATGAATCATTATAACAAGCCACTAGTCACCTCCTAGCCAACTCTGACATTTATCTGAATGTCTTAAGATCAATAACAACCTCTTTAATGGTCTTGCTCATCCAATACCTCAAGGGTCAGTTCAATTTAAAAGGCCATCAGTATGAACTGAGATGATGTTACCCTGATTTCTAAATAATTAATCACACCTGTGATCATTTGCAACAGGAAGAATTCAGTTATGGGGACATCCGATTGCAGTAGACTGGGCAGAACCAGAAGTGGAAGTTGACGAAGACACAATGTCTTCAGTGAAAATCTTGTATGTAAGAAACCTTATGCTGTCTACCTCTGAAGAGATAATTGAAAGGGAATTCAACAATATTAAACCAGGTAAGACATTCATGTGAAATTACTTCTTCAAAATGTTATTTAAAAGCATTTATACTTAAGGTTACTTTCTATAAGTTTAAAAACTTTAATTTAGCTCATTCTCATAATTAAATATAGATTACTCAAATTATATCCCATCTTTGAATTAGAAAATAGGGACACATGTTTTCTCACCACTTAACAATGTTATTACCTTATAATTATCTCTGTGATTATTTAATAAATACATTGTTTCCTTAACTAAGCTATAAATTCCACGAGTTCTTTTCTGTTATCTCCTCAGTCCTGAGTCAGTTTGTGAACCTAAGATATAATAAATGCTCAATAAATATTTGCTCTTTTAATGAATGTATGGGCATAACTACATGTCTAAGACAGGATTTTTCAACTCAGCACTGCTGCCATTTTGGAACACACGATTCTTGGTAGTGGGAATCTGCCCAGTAGATTGTAAGATATTCAACAGCACCTGACCTTTCACAGTAGATTCCAGTAGGACTCTCCGACCAGTAGTAATCTTCAAAATGTAAAAACCAAAAGAATCTACAGACATTGCCAAATGTACCCTAGATGTGGCAAAAACTGTCTCCAGTTGAGAACTACTGATCTCTTGCAATATATTTGTCACTTTAGGTACATAAGTAGGGAGGTGTCAGTTCATTTGCATGATGAGAAAGGGAAAGGACTAGAGCTGCTACTCATCTTGTCCATACTTCTCAGTATCAATTCTAAACTGTAATGTTGACACTCTGTTTCTTTCTTCTCCATATGGAAGTATGACACTGAGAAAGGTAAAGCATTTTACAAAACAATGCCCAAATGAGCATTTCCCCAAACCATTTCTGAATATCAGTTTTATGAACTGTTAGCTGATGTTACTGATAAAAGGGCTATGTGATCAAATAAGTTTAATCACCACATTCTGCACAATTAAGCAGGTTTCTTTATTACAGGACTTGGAGTCGCTAGCCGTCTAGCATGCTTTGAAATCTCTGAGGAGAGATGAAAGGTCCCTCATATCCCAAACATTTGGAGCGTGGTTCCTCCTTTGTGGCAGACCATCCTGTGAAATTAGTGTGTCTTGGAACACACTGGGCAATGCCAGCCTGTGGTTATCATAGTAGCACCATCTTTCCATGACAGACTTTATCAGGCTCCAGGTAAACTCTCCAGGATGTTGACAAGCATGGACCATGGTGCTATCATGTTAAACCACCTGAGAATATTTACTTTACACATTCATTTTGTCTGTTCCCAACTCTGGGTGCTACTTCAGGTATAATAGGATGATAAGCAGATGATTCTCCCCTAAGACAATTAGTAAGGATGTCATTTTTCTCCTTGTAAAGCATCTCCAAAAATCTGTCTTCCTTTGCCTCAAGAACTCTGCCTTCTCTGCCATGTTAGTATAATGGTGTGTGGCTCCATGCCAATAGCTATGGACCCAAAGCTAATATAGAAAACTGCAAACTGCAGACTGCTTCACTGTGCACCAAGCATGACACTAGGCATATTCACAGCATGTCGTTGATTCATCACAATGTCCCTATTGCAGATTACTTTGTCAGTTTCATTATTTTCTAGATAATAAGACTAGAGCCCAGAGTAGTTAAGCAGCTTGCCCAGGGTCACATAGCTAGAGAGTACAGACACCAAGTATAAACTCTGTGGGCCTCACACCCAACCTCATTCCATGTACTCATTCGTGCAACTCTTGCTCCTTCAGTAGATCCTATGTGCCAGGCACTGTGGGAAGAACTGACAGGTGCAGTATGTGTATGGAAGGAGTTGAAGATGATCCAAGAAAATATCCAGGACAGCCTATTCCCGCCATGCAAGAAAACTCATGCTTAGGAGAAGTTATATGTAAGCTGAGATCTGAAAATCGACCTCTTGTGGTCACAGCCACAGATATGTGTGTATGAATTATCGCTCTTTTGTCCTGCCTCCACATCCTGTGTTAGTTTTCTGCCTTCCCAGGGTGAATGATATTTATTTTTATGTAACTAAAAAGCACCTTTTATTGAAAAAGGCTAGAATGAGAAACTACTAAAAGGGTGCTTCCTTTTATGGTTACTGATTATCAGCTTTCCTGGTCTGTGTATTAGTCTATTGAAGACAGATGTTTCCTCAGTACCCAGTCTATGAAAATAATAAATGCTAGATCTCTCAATCTCTCTCCCCCCCCTTCTCCTCCTCCTCCTCCTCCTCCTCCTCCTCCTCTCCTCCTCCTCCTCACTTTCTCTCTCCCCATTGAGTCTAAAGCCTAAAGTCTGTCCAAAAATTTCAGGATTCTGGAGTACATCCTGATTCTAATGGCTCAACTTTCAGGGTTCTATAATAACATATAGATTATAGATTATCCTTTTCAGAATTCTACAAATGAATATGAATTGCCAAGAGTAAGTTGACTAGCAGACATCTGCTGCATGCAGAGGGAGAAGTCAGAGCTAACCAGCTCCTTTTCCAGTGAAAGGATATAATGTATCAAGGGTATAATTATCTACCAACATTCTTGGAAACAAGAAAATACCATTTAAGAATTCTATCTAAAATCTGACTCCCTTGGAGCAACCTGCATATTCCCTGCAAATATCTGACCATGTATCATTTTTACACTAATTAATCTGGAAAACATTATATTGCCACTGAGAAACACAAATGACAATCAAAACTGAAACTGGAGCCAGAAAATGTATGTTCTTTCCCAGTGTAGCCTAAGGGTATCTGCTATAATTCTAATTGTAGTACAAAATCTGACTTCCCTAGTGCATTTCGGCAGCACCAGGATCACCTAGAGGTCCTGGTAAAACACACCTTGCTTGCCACACTGGGCCTATAAATTTACACTTCTGTTCAGTTTCCTGATAAAGCTGGTGCTGCTTGAACAAGGGGCTGTACTTTGAGTTCTTAATATTTTTCCAATTCCCTATGAATTCAGAGTTTTCTTCTTTTCTAATGAATGAACCACAAATAATGACTACCAATATTCTATGGCCTCACCCTCTGTTAAATGATGACCAATCAATAAACTCCTGTGCACTAAAAAAGAAATATGTTAAAAATAATAAGCCATAATTTACCATAGAGTAAATGCTATTGTAGAGAAAGCCAACTTTTATAACACAAACTCTTACTTTCTAATTTTTCTGGTTCATTTGTATTTTGATTTGTTTGTTGGGGTTTGGGGGGTTTATTTTGTTTTGTTGGGTTTTTTTGGTTCTTTTGGTTTTGGATTTGCTATTGTTTGGAGGTTGTGTAGGGTTTTTTATTGGGGATTGTTGTCTTTGTTCTGTTGGAGTTGTTTGTTTGTTTGTTTGCTTGCTTGTTTTTGGTAGTACTGGGGATTGAAACCAGGGAATACCCCAGGCCTTTTTATTTTTTGGAGACTGTCTCACTAAGTTTCCCAGACTAACCTGGAACTTGCTCTCTTCCTGCCTCAGCCTCCCAAGTAGTGGCATTACAGGTATACTGAAGTTGAAGTATGCATTGGCTGATAATGTTCCCTCATTTCATGGGTATTTATTGAGTGATCCCTGTGTCCAAGGTGCTGCCTGGGAGCTGGGTGCAGATGATCCCAAGATGCTTCTGAAGCATACCCTTGTTCCCAGAGACATAACAGACTAGGTAAGGGAGCCTCAGAGAGAGTGACACTGAGACACAAACAGCAAAGACTGGAAAGGTAGGGGTCGTTCTGGCTGGCCTCTTCCCAACCACTCAAACAAGCCATGGAGCTGAGCCATAATAATTATCCACATCTTATACTGCAAGGGTCAAGTTGGAATTTCAGTGAATTAAATGATGCATGCTCTGTGGACTAGATACCTTTAGTACAGCCAGACAACTTTTCTCTGTAACCACTGCCATATGAAGTCAATGCTAAAAGGAGAGGAAAGAGAAGCATCACAGTATTTTAAATTAGATTTACAGGTCTGCTTGTATTTCAGAAAAAAAAGGTAATTCATGGTCTTTGAAACCTGTGGTAGAGTAGAAACTGTAACTGCCTTTGTGACCTTGAATCTAAAAGGCTAACTGAATGTTGATGAGAAAAGGCAGAAATATTTTCTTCTCTTCTTATTTTTCCATATAATGTCTCATCCCACATTGTGTCTGGGAATCAAGGGGAAAAGAAGAAAACAGCCTCTCAAGACACATACAAATAGGTGTAAACTAAAGAGGATAATTTCGGAATCACCCCTCTGCAGACAGGCAGGTCTGCACATGCCCTACTGAGGTCCCAAGTCAAGTGGAAGACACCGAATCACCCTGCTGCAGACAGACAGGTCTGCCCACGCCCTATGGAGGTCCTGACTTGCGCGGAACACGCCTAATCAGCCCGCACCCCGGCAACAATCCTCTGGACCCCCACCCCCGCTCCTCTGTACAGCCACGTGGTTCCACACTACAAAGACGCAGAGGACACCGGACCAGCAGACCACGGTACTGAGTCCCGCTGCTCCCGGCCCAGAGGTAGGGGCTTCTGAGCCACCATCCCACTGCTCCTGTCCAGAGAAGGGGCTTCCCCATCACCATCCCTCCCACTGCTCCCAGCCCAGAGGAAAGGGCTTTTGGGCCACCTTCTGTCCTGCTGCTCTTGGCCCAGAGGAAGAAGCTTCTGGGCCACCATCCCTCCCACTGCTCCTGGTCCAGAGGAAGGGGCTTCCCGGCCACCATCCCTCCCACTGCTCCCAGCCCACAGGAAAGGGCTTTTGGGCCACCAACCCTACTGCTGCTCCAAGCCCCTGTCACACCTCTCCCAGCTCAGAGGAGGTAATCCATGCAGGCGCCAACAGCCCCCTCACCCAGTTGAAATGAGAAAACATATAAATAAGTCTTAAAACCAGACTTCCAGATCACCTACAGCAACCGCAAAAGGAAATGAGATGGAACACTCTGATACTCAACCACCTGGACCCACTGAACTGGCAACAAAAGGGGATCTGGGAAAAATGAAATCTGAAATAATTTCTCAGATAACAGGAGAAATTGTGCCCCTAGTG